GGGCTGTGAATTCTGTAATGCATGGTATGCAGTTGCACATCCCGAAGGCCTGGAGGGGATTATGAGCACATCTTTTGGATGTCCTGACTGGTCCATTCCAAAGGATGCGCTCTGCCCCTCCATGCAGGATGATGCGATTGCAATACCTATTTCACATCCCCTGTTATTTTTGCACCTGGAGTGTAAAAAATAATTTGGATATAAATACACCCGAGTGTAAATTTACTCTCACATCCTAAGTTTATCATATTGCTTATGTGCTATTTTCACACCTTTTGGGCTGGTGTAGTTTTTGGGCACGGTGCAATTTTACTCCAAACGGGGTGTATTTTGACGCTAATTAGGTTACTATTTATATCATGGGTAGTAAAATTACTCTTCCACTGGTGCAAGTTATGGTTGCTATTTTACCACGGGTGGTAAAATTTTTCTTCGAAAAGAGAAAGAAATTACACCAGAACTTTGGAGTAAATCTACGGTGCCAAAAAATCCAATATTTTCTGGTGAGTTTTTACTCCGGCGTAAGTTTACTCGAGTTTTTACGCCGGAGTAAAAACTCACCAGAAAATATTGGATTTTTTGGCACCGTAGATTTACTCCAAAGTTCTGGTGTAATTTTTTTTCAGTGTACCTTCTATGGATAGCCGGCAAGACACCTACTGGTCGGGCCTGACCTGACCCGGCCTAGCATGAAAACATCATCCTTGATCAAAACTAGCTTGAAATTCGTGATTAGCACCCCAAAACCTCCAACCTCACTTTACAAAGTTACAGCATTTTTTGATTTACCTATATCAAAGCTCTGTACCTACTGAAGTTCAATAAGGTGAACATTGGCGGCGATAGCCAATAAAATGGACGCAGCGTTGCAAGGGTGTTGTTGTTTTGTTCAAAAAGAACATTTGGCGATAGAAAAATAATGTCAACATGGTATCACCCCCTTCCTCCCTCCTCCCAACTCCTATACTGACCGGAAACCCCCAGGCGGTGTGCTGCGGTCGGGTAACCCGCCGGGCGTAACGGGCGTAAGAAACCACGCGGCACCGTCTGCTTTGACGTCTCATAGTGACTGGTTTAGGCAAATTTCGGCAAAAAATGAGAGCTGCCCCCGATGCAGAAATTATTGGAGAACATTTTGATATATACATTTCCACGCGTAACACCGCGTATCAAACTTTGTAAGGCAATAGTTTGCTTGTCAACTCTCTGAATCAAGAAGCATTTTAACATTTTTAGCATTTCGGTCAAAAATTATATATACATTTGGATGAATTTTGGAAATTTTCGTGCATACCATCATCTTCCTTATAAGTCAAAGATAATGAAAACATGTCGCAACTATAACCTGCTGTTCAGGGAAACGAGTGAGAGGGCGTTTTATTGTAGTGTGCTTTTTCGTTGTATGCAGATAGCACGACGCTGGTCAGGACGAAGCTACACTTTGAGAGTTTTTTTGAGGCATAAACAATCATTTTACAGACGATTTAAGGTGTGATTCGGATGCGCTGGACAATTCTACGTGGGTTGAATAACAAAAACGTGGAAATCGAAATGCTTTAACTTGCCATTTAATGCGTGCTAGGATGGCATAAGTCCCCACGGTGCGCCGGCCGGGGTAACTTTTTCAAACATTCTCCACCCGTGGCTAAGACTGTCGTGCGGTACATTATACCTGCCAGGCCAGACTGTCATGCGGTACAGTGGACTGTCGTGCGGCACAGTGTAACAACCAGGAGTTGTCGTGCGGTACAGTATACCGTCCAGGCTGGACTGTCGTGCGGTGCAGTATAACTACCATGGAATGGTACAGCATAGGTACCTATCTACCAGGCTGGTCAGTGGTCTGTCATGCGTTACAGTATACCTACCAGGCTGGACTGTCGTGCGGCACAGTATACCTACCAGGGGCTGTCGTGCGGTACAGTATACCGTCCAGGCTGGACTGTCGTGCGGCACAGCATAACTACCAGGGGCTGTCGTGCGGTACAGTATACCTGCCAGGCCAGACTGTCGTGCGGTACAGTATACCGGCCAGGCTGGACTGTCGTGCGGCACAGTATAACTACCAGGGGCTGTCGTGCGGTACAGTATACCTGCCAGGCCAGACTGTCGTGCGGTACAGTATACCGTCCAGGCTGGACTGCCGTGCCGGGTACAGTAGGGTAACTGTGGGGAAGACGCACCCCTGGGTTAAACGCCTCCCCTAAAAAAATCGTATTTCTTATCGACGGATAGGTGTTTTATCCTGTCTTTCAGAACAGTCAGCTGCTTGTTTACGTAGGTCTCTATTTCCGGTTTTGCGTCTTGAGGAGCAGCGTGGGTAGGTGCTGGTGTTGGTTTTGGGTGTTGTTTTTGTTGTTTTTACAGAAGATTCCTAACATTTTGATGCCCTCTTTATATTTGCCGGTCCCGTAGCTCAGTTGGTAGAGCGTTGGACTCCGCGTGGTGAGAGCACGCGTTCCCGGTTACAACAGTCCGGGTTCGAAGCGCGACGGGCGCTTGACATTTATGGGCCTCCTGACAGGTATGGTTGCGGTTGGTGGCAGGCCGTAGCCTGGCGAAGTCAGTGAGGGGACCGGCCGTGCGCGGCTATGTGCGCACGTTAAACTTTAGACTCTAAATTCTGCCATAGAACTGGGATTGCGCGATCGGAGGGTAGAGGGCAGGGTCACCGCAACAAGCTTCGCTTAGCGTTGGCTCTGTCCTTGTGAATCCTTCCCATCATAAGGTTCGGACTAAATTTAAAAAAAAATATATCACAAAACTTGCTATTGTGCACATCACTCAAAACTGCGTTTTATTGTCATTCTGTTGAACGTATTATGCTGCGGCGTTAGTGGCGCGTTTTTTGTCAATATTTTGTTGACCGGAAATGGAGTGGATGGGGCAAGACGCCTACTCGATGCATGGGGCAAGACTGGTTTTCTGAAAGGGGGCGTTTTGCACGGTGGTGAGAGTGCAGGGTAGCGCCCTGTAGGTCGGGGCCGAAAAGGCCTCTCCCTGTCCTTTTTTGCTGATATATCCTAAACGACTGCAGATATCGTCACCAAACTTTCAGGACTCCTCCGGGCATCGATTTTACACATTGCAACAAAATTTTATTTCAAAGGCTATGATAGGCTGACCACAAATGACGTCAGAATGACGTCAAGTTCTGCCCTGTTCATCATTTTCGGTTGATGGATGGGGTGGGGGCGCTTTGCACATGGGTGTGGGCGTATTACCCAGGGTATGGGGCAAAACGCCCTTTTGTAAGGGTATGCGAAAACCTTTTTGGGGGGTTAAATACCACACGTAGGTGTCTTTTCTTGGTCTCAAAGCGTAGTAAAAAGAATGAGCTACATGATGGTGCTCAAAGGTTTAAGTAATCTGTGTTGGGTTGAGTGTCAGAAGGTTTCGCGCTTAACCCGCGCACCGACGGGGGTCTGCGCCAACTTCGCACCGACGGGGGGGGGGGGCGGATGACCGCCCCCCCTGAGATCTCGAGAACGAAGCAAGATAGCGACAAGCGGTAAACGGCATCGGATACGCACGGTCAAGATCTACAATTTTTACAAAGGTCATTTTCAGGTCAGGTCAAAGATGACGTCACAGGGGTCGAAAAAGTCAAAATGGCGGCGCTAGATATTGAGAGAGTTTTTCTCGAATAACTTTCGAACTAGTCAAGATAGTAACAAACTAAGGGCATCATCGTGATCCTCTCGTCAATCCGCATCGAATGATATATATGTTGACCTCGAAAGGTCAAGGTCAAAGGTTGACCTCAGGTCACGTGACCTCGAGGTCATCATGTATATCATTCGATGCGTCTTGACGAGCTGAACACAATGAGACCATCCACGCGGCTGTATCTTGTTCCTGTACGGAGTTATTGGCCAAAAACCTTTGGTGACCTTTGATGACGTCACATGACCTCACAGCTGCCCAACAGCAAAACAGACCTCAAGGTAGTGAAGGTTGATCGTATATAAAGTCATGTATGGTATATGGGGCCATTCCGACCCGTTTTAGTGGTAAAAACAGGGAGTTGATTTTTCCCCCATTGACTTATAATGGGGAGGTCGCGAAATTGACCTGACCTTAGGTCACCGATATCAAAATTCCGAGATATACAAATTGTAGCTACTAATGACCTAATAACATCCTGCGACTTTCAAAGGTCTCCGACATCTACTGTAGCTCTGGCACGGTGACAAAGTTGCAAAAAAGTGACTTGAGGTTGGGTCATTCAAAGTGACCTGGTGACCTGACCTTAAGAGGTAGGAGGTTCAAACTTGCACACCATGTGTAAAATTGATGAGGGTATAGTCATATAAAATTTCGCGGCGCTACGCGCCGCGGTTTTCCCGCTATTCGCGAAAAACCTCAGGGGGGGGCGGATATCCGCCCCCCCCGTCGGTGCGCGGGTTAATGGGGGCGTTTTTGACCTACTCACCCTATACCTACCAGGGGCTGTCGTGCGTTACAGTAGGTGTATACCCACTCTGTTTGACTGAGCTGTCGCGCGGTAAAGAATACGAAAATGAATTTAAGTTTCCCCTAAAGTCACTATGTTTATTGGGGAAAACAATGCTCATTAAAGGTCTTATGGAGCCGAGCTGTATGGATGCATAGTAGGTACCTATTTGGTTGTTTAGTTTGCACTTTTACATTCCTACATTTCATTTTCATTTAGGTACATGCCTACAGTAGGTATATATTTAATCATTTCATTTTAATTCCAACGGCTAAATAGCCATATGTCAGGAACCGTATAGGAACTGCACCCAAACGACGCGAAAAGGAGCACAGGCTGACATAGGCGGCGGAACGGGGGTGGCACCGGGGCACCGTGCCCCCCCTTGATTTTGGCATTTTAACATAAGCCCTGTGGGCGTTGCATGGAAAGAATGGGACCAAAAGTCGGCAGTGCCCCCCCCCCCTTGATTGAAGGTGTTTCGCCGCTACTGCAGGCTGATTCTGTAAATCGGTACAACTGAGCCACTTCTCATGTGTTGCAGACCCCAAGAAGTCGAGCACCCTCTGACGCCACGCCAAGGGGAGGTACCGCGCCACCGGCCGGGCCAGCCAAGAGTCGACGAGCCCCATCATACCGCCCACGCACTGAGGACGGCGTCACGTGACCGCGCTGACCTCCGAAAGGTCACGTTCGCCACACCCGAGTTCACAGCTGGCTCCCAACCGAATTACATGACGGAGTCGTGTCTCCAAACTGACTCGAAACGCTGTCTTATGTGTGTGTTTTTTCATTGTCTTAGTGTACCTATTAATCAGCGAGCGAGGATATAGTTTTATTTAAGTAGGTTAGTCGTTTTTATTAGAGGATATTCGAAACTTCTTTGCTGCTGTTCTATTTATGAATGAAACTGCGAAAAGCTTTAGATGTGTAGTGAATGTACAATTTCAGCTTGCTTCATAATGGATTTCAAGTAGGTAGGTGAGCACTAGGCAAGATCGCATCTTCATTCCACGTATAGTAGCAGTGGGTTCTGTATTTTTGTCTTCACCCTCATTGATAACAAACCATCAAAACATGGCGGTTCCAAACCGAGGAGTGTCTGATGGTCCAACCATGAGCCACTGCATATTCAGCAGCTAATCAGTGTGGCACACGGGGGCGGTGCATATCCGACGTTTTACACCCGACCAAGAACCACCACATCAGGCTTCATCTACAAAACAATGTGCTCGACTTTTTAATGCCATTTAGCAGAGTGGCCTGAAACGAAAGACATGCTGCCGGTTTCGAAGAAGGTACTTACCTTACACGAATACGATGCTGTAGTCACCTCTGGGGCAACAACAGGGTCGTTGTAAAAAAGTGGTGCCGCCCCCGTCTCTATGCATGCAATATCAGTGAGTGCAATCTGAGCTTCCTCGCTTTTTATAAATGTAGCAGTCAGTGTAGGTGTGTGAGTATGTGTCATTGTCATGTGTTAGCCAAGTGTCCATCGCAGCTGCGTTCTTTGGCACTCGCTCTCTCTGTCTCCAATATTCCGTCCCATGGTGTATGTAGGTACTCTCTTGCAACTGCTAATGCTGTCGAAAGGACGCCCACAGAGCTGAGAATGGTGTGGGGAGTGCCGAAACAAGCTCTTCAGCTTGTTTGTGGTGGTCCTTCGAGAGTCGACGCGTTCAACACACCCATGTATTTGTCTGTCTGCGAAACGTTTTCTGTCGGCTGGCAAGCCGTCGCGAGTCGGTATGTTAGCGGCGAAAGACCTCTTATCAGCGCCACCCTTTCAGTGTCTGACGGAATTTTCGTCCATGCGTCAGTGATGTTTCTGAATTGTGATCGTTATTTCGGTGCAAATAAGGCCAAGAAACCCAATGTGCCTGAATCTCGTAGTGTTCGGAGAGCGGTGGCCTTACATGTGGAACCAAACTAGCGGTGTTTAGTTGGCTGACGACCAAAAATATCTCGCTTCCTTCCATCTATAATGTGCTTATATGTGTAACTGTACGACTTCCTATAGCCACCCTCGTGTTCGACTGTATGCCAACTGTAACTTCTCAGATGCCTTTCACTGTGTAGCTTTTTAAGCTTCGGAATAAATTATTTGTGTTACAATGTCTGATACTCCAAAGAGACCTGACGCAAGCACCGAACACACTCGCTTAACCAATCGCAAGCGCTCACTTCTGACCACGATATCGTATGTCAGGAAAACATAAAGAAAGTCATTGGTGACAATCATGCTACCACAAGAGTGTGAATTAAACGGAACGCACAGCGGGGCTGAGCAGACCGCAACTTGCAGGCCAAGGATGCATCGGAAAATGTTACACCATAATGCGTGTGTTTTCCATGATAAAATATGTGCGAGTCTTCATTGACCCACGGCAGCGAAAAGCACATCTCGCTTCGAATTTCTCCATGAGACACGTATTTTGAGTTCGTAGATATATTATTACCACAGCATAATGCGGTGTACAGTTAAACCAACACAAGCGAAAGAACGAAACTGGGTCTTTCCCATCTCACATTCAATAACGCATTAAAGGGACTATCCCACCTTCTAAAATGTTGTTAAAACCAGTTAAATTGTGCCCGACTTTATAGATTGGATGACCAGGAACACGGTTCTGGCATTTATTTTTCATTAAACATCTTAGGCTTCCCATATTTCAAACACAAACTTTCAACTATGTGACGTCACAGCCCAAAATTACCTCCTTCCCCAGGCCACATTACTGTCATAACGCTGATTCTTTTTACTCTGTAGGCACCACAACAAAGTTCAGACCAAGTTTTAAGCGATTTTTCAACGAACAAACCCATTTAAATCAGAATGACTAAACGAGGTGACGTCACACTAACAGTCGCTCCATGTTGAAGATAGGGCCTTGTACAAGGCCCATTTTCAAATGAAGGGAACGCATTTCTTCAACACCAAGAGGCCGCGGGGGTTGCAACCTAGATAGATAGTGGTTTCTGAACCTCGCCGCAAACTTGGCTATCTCAACTCAAACCCCATGTTAAAGGTGGGATAGTCCCTTTAAACTACGCCGCGCAAGATTCGTCTGAGCTGCGCCGGTGCAGGACACCAAACACTACGTCTAAAGGGAGTACCTTAGCACCTCCACGCTGAGGCACCGGGTCAGGGGCAGCTACGAACGATTCCGTGCCATAGATGTGTCCCTGACCGGACTGAGCGCACAGTGGAGTCTACAATATACATCCAGTGCGCGGGAATATCACAGGAAAATCAAAGTAGGCAGGCGCCCAACGTTACCTAAGTGCAGGCTGGGAGACGGACTGACGGCACTGCGACCGGTGACTCTCAATGTTCGTCTCGACGGCTAAATGCGGCCAACGTGAGCGACAAAAATAAGAGTTTCCATCGGCGGCAAGGGAGCCTGCCGCGTCACAAATCAAAAGCTACATCAAGTGGCAGGCCATGCCACGGGTTAGTTCACATCAGATCACCACCAGGCCTCTCAAAATAGTGTGGTGAAACGGATAAACTGCTCGATAAGTACTACGATAGATAGCATCAGAGTAAAAGCACAAGACAAAGAATATCTCACAAGTTAACTGCTGATAAGTGATACTGAACTGAAAAATAACCAAACAACCAAACAACAAAATCAGCTGAACACTGACTAGCCACCTGTTGGGAGTAAATCGTTACATTAGTAATCTCCAACGGCTTATCAAGGATACACCACTATCTCATGGGTTGCTTATACGAGGTGCAATGTGCAGTAAATGATTCCGATAGCAGATCGACAGTTCAGCAATTGCCTGAGCTTATATCGATTGGTGTAATATCGACATTACAGAAAACGTCTATCCAATGAAGCACAAGGCTTACGATAAAAGAAAAGTCCAATAACTGCCCACCTAGCCGCCGCTCACAGTCGAGTACTAGTAAGCTGCACACACCAACTAAGCTAAACATTACCCACGCAGGGAGTTGTCTCCCATCTCGGTGGAGTGTTGGAGCGCCATCCCTCCCCTCCGTCCGCCGGCCGCGCTGCCTGCCATCTATCGGCTCTGCGCTCAGTTGAACTCGCGGTTGGTGAGTATGAGCGGCGCCACCAGCGACCAGGCGTACAGCGCCAGGCACAGCCACGAAGAGATGATCTTCACCCACATGGAGGCGGCGTTGTTGGAGAGCGAGCGCAGGTCCGAGTTCGGCCTTTGAAAGCAACAGACAACAAAGGTAAGTCAGCCCCCAACGAGTGAGTTAACTAAGTCCACACCATGCACGCCACCTAATAAAAAATCCTCTTATCCTCCGTGCAATAAGTGATGAGCAGCACGCCACCACCCTACCACCGGCCACGGCTGACGATCCGCTCCTCCTGCGGTCGCCGCAGCACAGACACCACTCAGCAAATTGAAGGCTCGCGTGATTAACTACGGGCGAGCGCCTCGGTCGGCCTGCTCCGGGGATGGGTGCGGGGCTGGTACAGAGTCTATTTCATTAGCCCGACACGGGTGACACACGCGACCCCACCGGTCACGGACTGACGGTGGGGCCGCCGGCGGGACGACCGGGGTGCCGGTTGTGTGAGAGATTCGGGAGACACAAAAAAGGAAGAAGTGTCCCTCAAATATACATCACGCATGCATGCACGGATTAAATGGCCCACGGCTGATAAAAAAGAGGAAAGATTCTATCATTCTAGTGCACTATTGACTGCCGTCATAATCATAAAACTAAACTCGAGCATATTCAGTAGGCCTAATGAATTGTTTTTAAGATGAAAGCAATTACGTACTTGTGGAAACTGAGCTACCAAGCCATAAAACAATTAGGGACAGCAGCTGGACATGACCAACCACTGAACACCACATGACCAGAGTGTTTGAGGGACCACTCTATCTCAACCTAATCAAGGACACAATGCCTTAAAAATTTGATTTCTTCATATAAGAAGTACACAGCAAAAATACTCCTAAAACATTTATTGTGAGTCACCTAGTCACCTTACCAAACTTCTCCCACCACTATCTGATACTCACGAGTGCCAGTTGGTGTCATAACGTCTCCCATCACTATCTGATACTCACGAGTACCATTTGGAGGCTTTTCCAGTTTCCCACCACTATCTGTCTCTGATACTCACGAGTACCAGCTTATGACTTTCCACCAACTCCCATCACTATTTGATACTTACGAGTACCAGTTGGTGTCATAACGTCTCCCACCCCACCACTATGATACTCACCGAGTACCAGTTGGTGAGCGTCACTCATACTGTGTCCCATCACTATTTGATACTCACGAGTACCAGTTGGTGAGCGTCATCATGACGTAGAGGGTGGCCAGTGCAAACATCAGGTGAAAGAAGGACCAGCTGTAGGCCACCGAGTCCTCCTCGTTGTCCCAGACACCGGGACGCTCCCGCTCGGCGCCGCTGCTGCCGCCTGCCGGTCAAATCACGAACTGATGCCGCCGCTGGACGTTTGAGACTATCGCGGGACATGTGATGAACAACCTCAGCATTTTATAAAACTAACTTGTTAATGCCTGACTATGTAACTCATCAAAAATGAATTAAAATAATTTAACAGCAATGAAAAACAAAATATCAGAACAAAAAATGAATCCCTTGCAGAAGAAAGCCAAACAAAACCCTTAAGGCTAGAACAGCATTCGATGAGTAAAAAAAAAAACGTGAAGCGAATAGCATAAACAAAATGCCAGCAATGAAGTAACCAGATGTAGCATAAGTCACACGTGGGCACCGGAAAAATCGCCACATCAGAGAGCTCAGTGCTGGATGTTTACTTTACGACAATAACTCAGCATAGTTTGACTAGCTCACCTTCAGCATCCACCAGAGTGCTGGCGTCGCTCGGATTGGCTAAAACACAGCGCAACCCAACAGTTATCGACTGTGTCCAAACTCCAAACACAAAACACAACACACCTAGCTCCGATTGGCTAAAATACGGACACAACAGTTAATCGCGGTGTGTGAACACTAGTACAGAATACAGTGGTCATCTACAGTGTGTGACACATAGAACACAGGCGTCAACAAACATCGACCGTGTCTGAACACTGAACGCCAACATTGACTGTAGGCTTCAAATATGATCACAGATTACAGTCATCGGTGAAATATTAAAGGCAACACAGGAATTCGAAAAGGAGAATCATGACGAATTCAATCAAATAAAAAGACGAGATCAACGTTAAGTAGCTACAAAAAATAACTCCGAAACCCAGTTGCCTAGCCAGTTGCGATTCAGAAACAAGAACTTTTTGCTGATCTGAGTAATCGGAAGCAACTGAATCATGTTTGGCAAGGGTCAACTCCAAATCAAACACGAAACAAAAATGACAATAGTATTGCAATAAATATGACAAAGCCAAAAAATGACGAAAAACGATATCAAGCATCAACATGCAGCAGCACTCCAGTAACACAAATTTCCCAGTTGAATCATATCGCCAGCCCCGATCGCCGACAGCGTGGGGCCAGGCCGGGCCAGGTGGGGGTCGTGGGTCAGTCTCACCGAGTGTCTTGGTGTCCTCCTTGAGCAGAATCTTGTCGGAACCCGTCAGCTTGGCGTGCTGAGACGAGGAGGCCGTGCTGAGAAACACTCAGACGCGGAAAATGTCAGTCAACAGAGCAGCCATGAGCAAAATAACAAGAAGGGAGCGTGGTAGGGTGGAGGGGAAAGCGAGATGGGAGAGATGGCAACGACTTGTCTGAGCCGTCAGAAAACATCCAAAATGACAGCTTTTGAATCGGAATTGCCAGCGCAAAATACAGCAGATACAGCAGGTTTAGAGCGACACATGATTACATCATTCGAGATAATGCTGTTATTGCATATTGATAATCCTAGTACCTAAAATAAGCGCAAGCGAAGAAGTAATATTCCAAAAACGTCCTTTCCATCTGACAAGCAATACCAATGATAGCAGTTCTAGTGTGGCAAATCCACCGAGCACATGTGTCCAAACACCACCTTCCCGATGTGCACGGCGCCGCCCGGGCACTCACCGGATGCTGGAGTAGAGGACGCAGACGAGCCAGATGATCAGGCCGACGATCGACTGGGCGTCGAAGCCGGGCAGCTGGTCGGGAGCCGGGGCGGCACCGGTGTCACCAGAGATCACTGCGTTCAGATGCGGCTTGCAGCTGCCATCTGGGGTAATATGGGAAGGGGTTGGCAGGGTCAGGTCACAGACGAAAAGGTAGGGCGAACTCAGGGGTGGTGGACAAAATCGGTTGATTCATGTTGTTTTAGGATAGGACGCACTATAAGCTATATCGTCTGGCAGAACTGGCAACTGTTGACAGAGAAAAACAGAATCTCAAAGCACAACTGTACGGAGTTTATGACGAAAATTTACATACGTATAACGCTGAACAAAGGACAGCTTATACACTTCCCGGCCTGACAATGATTTAAACTGATTTAAAATATACCTATAAGACCACGCTGATTTAAAATATACCTTGATAATAGCGTAATAGCGAAACGCTACGCCCGACCTGGAATATTTCATGGGACAACTCTTCCTCGAAGCCTTGCGCCAAACATAAATAAACCACCCATTCACAAGGGCTGGGTGCAAAGGTCACTGTGGCAAATCACGCGATAATCGACCCCCGCTATACACACAAGACTCCACCCCATCCACCCCATATCCCCTCCCTCGCCGCCTGTCGGGGGGAGGGGGGGGGCGTACCGGGCTGGTTGGCCATGGCGCTCCAGGTCAGGTACATGGTGTACAGGGTGACGGCGGCCGACTGCAGCAGGCCAGAGCGCGGCTGCGCCTCCTGCACCTTCGGCAGCACCGACAGCACCGAGACCGCCACGCAGAGGATCAGGTTGAAGCTGATGAAGAACTTGTGGGTGCCGCAGCCGTCCGGTCGTGCGTAGAAGGCGAAGAACAGGCCGACGGCAGTGATGGCCAGCGCGTACTGGAGGAACGTGCAGAACAGCAGCGCGCAGTACCAGCCCTTCGACTCAGTCTCCTCGTACCGGGACACCTGCGGGCGGTCAGAGCAGGTCACATCGCGGTAGGCGCGGAACGGACGGAGACAAACGGCGACGAGAAAAAAATCGAAAAGTAGGTAACGTAACAGCTGAACAGCGAGAACAGACTAACAAATAAAAAGCAAAAGCTGGCAATACCCCTCAGAGCAGCATTTCATCCAGCAACTGTCCCGAATTTAATAACTCCCATAGGAGGCACCATCGATTGAACCAGCCTTTGTCCAGACTCCCCACGATAGAGGCGTACGTACCCAGTTGTCGGCCCAGGAGTGGGCAAAGTCTATGATAAGCACCAGCTGAATCAGGATGAAGATGAAGCCGCCGATCATGCCAAAGTACATCCACCAGTTGAGGCTGCCGGCTAAGCAGGGGGCATCAAGGACATGGTGTAAGCCTGTGTCAATGTGGGATGGCAATCACCAAACCACGCTTTATCCTTCAAAATACCTCTGGACTGGCACCTGCATTGTCGAACTCATCCTAAAGCATTGCTAATCGCAAGCAAGTATTGTACAGGAAGAATAGGAAACTGCTAGATCGTTATCGACATCGAATGCTGAACTTACCTGGGATGAAGAACGAGCCGACGATGCCACCAATCAGCAGTAGGTATTTAATGGCCCAAAATCTGCAAAAAGGTGCTGGTGAGCAGGGATTGCATCCGATTGATACAGGAGGATTAAGTACCGAGTGCTCATAAGTCGTTCGTGATTTGGTAGAATCAAAACGTACCTAGGTAGTAATACCACCACTTTACTCAATAATTTTGTAGGGATTTCACGAAGGGCTGTAGTTTTTGGGACCGCATATTTTACAAAGCCATCCATCATAAAACAATGACAAGACCAGCCGCAACCTTCTCCTTCGCCAGCCCTGGTGGGACTGCCAACTATTCTCCTCTCCTCTCCAATACCACCCCGACCTACACACCCGTTCTGTACACCGGCTCGGCCGTCCTTGGACGACTTGACGTTGATCATGACGAGCGCCATCAGGCCGAAGAACAGGGTGGCGACGAAGCAGACCCGGTAGACGGCCATGTAGCCGACGGCCGTGCTGCAGTCGAGCTTCACCGCCCCCGGAGCGTGGTCGTTGCAGAACGGAACCTGAGGCAGCGGGGAGACGGGTCACGGATCACGAGTAGACGGGTCACGGTGGTCACTCTGAGAGATTGGAGAATACGCTTTGTAGATAAACATTAAAAGACAATTCTTCACACACTTGAACATCACAACTTAAACTGTCAAGTGCTTGGTTGACCCCTGGTAACTGTGAACAGCTTCGACACACCACAGGTTAAATGCGACATTTTTAGGCACTGAGTACTGATCTCCATTTTCGTATCCATTTTGCAGCAAGCAATGATGCTGGGACTCAAGAGACAAGGCAGCTAAAAGGAACAAATTATTAAGAATTTGCACAAAGTCCTTTATTTTGGCCAAAAAGACCTGACACAAGATATCCTAACTTGATGAGCTAGCTAGGTAAAAACACTTCAAATTTAAGAGCCTAATTGATGGATGCCAGCCAGACTACCTCAAAGTTCAGCCTATTCATCCACACCTAGTAGACTATTTCTCACAGAATACAATAAAATGCCAATCAAAAGCAAAGATTGCCAATCTAAACCATATGGTATCAGAAAAAAAAAATTGTAACAACTTTTTGCATGAAATACATACAGCCATGCAAAGGCTTAAAAAAAACAGTGCTCAAAGCAGTATGAAAATTTTGAAATATTGGTGAAAATTCTAAGCCAGGTACACCAGAAGCACAGTAGCAGCTTCATAGCTGTTAAGGAGCTTCATAGCTGTTACTTCACAGTACACAATGCATAATGGCAGAGGAGACAGTGAGCATAATAAGCTGCTAGACTATCTAATGCCATGCAAAGTAATTGGACATAAAACTGGAAACATGGTACAGAGACTATTGTAAAAGATGCAAATCCAGCCCCAATTCAGTTCTGATTTTAAGTGTATAGTGTATCAAGTATCCTTGCCTAGCCTTATAATATCCTTCTCTGTTACTTTACATCTAAAAAGCACAATAAAAAAGTGGTTAAGCCAAGTGACAGTTAAGCTAGTAAAGCACAGCAAGTATGGTCAAACAAATAGTCATGCCAGTGACTTGAACATAAAAAAGGCTATGTGAGTTGACTAGGTGAGTGAGTATGATCAGTAATCATTGTAGCTCATAATGCTGAGTTTCTGCATCCCACCTGTATTAATGCTTTGGCAATTTCATCATACATAGGCGTAGGAACGTTTTCGAAAGTGGGGGGGGGGGGCCAGGGTCCCAGAGATCCAAAACCTAACCTACCCCCAAAATCCGATTTCTCCTCGGATTTCGGCCACTTTGTTTTCGCAAACATGCTCAGAGGTAAAAAAAAATAGAGACAAAAAAAAAATTGGTTGAAATTTCAGGGAGTCTACACTCTCCCGTCCATAAACTCAAACTGATGGACGCGTTCCCCTGTCCTCCGCAGCCGTTGGCACCCATGCAAATTCCAGAGGCATCCAGCAACTTTTTCATTACGAGCAAGCGTGAAACGTGCAAAGCGAGTCTTTTCAATATACCTATAAAAATCAGCATGAACGGCCCAGCTAGGCTCAGCCAGGCCTGTAACGTTTTAAGAGGTTTTATATCAGCGACCACTGCAACTGGGCTGATTGACTTTCACTTATCAGAGGCCGGTGTGGGACTTTTAGACGGTCTGGGCCTTCAGAGGCCAGTTTAACCCTCCACGGCCCGGTCCTATAGGTTTTCTACATACGCGCTGGCCGAGGGGGCGGGGGCCTGTACGACCCCCCTCGCCGTTTCGCCCCAGGTGGAGCTAGCGCGTCGCGGTAAAACGAGCGTGTGCGCCGTTACGAGACGCAGAGATCGATACCCGATTTTATGGTCCTAGGTCAACCAGTGACCTCTGACACCGTTCCGTGCTTCTATCCTCAGGATACTGAAATCCTTCTCCTCCACACCGCAACCCCCTCCGGGCTGGACAGGCAACTTTATCTCATGCGGGCTGCTCCCTTGGAGCGGCACCGCTGCTCCCGAGGGAGCGCACCCCGTAGCCGGGTGCAGTGAGTGCCTTGGGGCTGGGTGGCCTGTCCTCTGGACGGGCTCAGCCCCGGCGACTCACTAGGGTGCCTGCCCAGACCAATGTCTCCCCCTATGTATATCCTATCATCCTTCCGACTCTGAAATGGTCTCATTGGACTGAAAGGGCCTAACCCAACAAAACAAACAAAAACCGGTGACCTCTGAGGTCAGGTCAAGTGCCTCAAGGCACGGTTCCGTTTTTGGTGAATAACTTCGCAAAAAATGGCCGCAGAGCCGCGATTTTGCCAGCATCGTGTTCGCCTCTCTCAGGCGCGTCGAATGATATACTTTTTGTTTGGGTGAGGTAAACTTAGGGTGTTGACCTCGGGTCACGGTCAGGTCAGCACCCCCAGGTCGCGAAATTGGTCGAAGGAGGTCATGTCGCATAGCATTCGATTCGGCAGGTCTTCTTGAGTCCATAGGTGGCTTTCCCGACTCGCTAGCTCAATTTGATCGGTACCTAGTTATTGACGAAAAACTCTTATTTCCACACACTTATTTCACACTCTCTTATCACACTCTCTTAAACACACTCTTATTTCCAAAGGTACCCATGAACAAAAGGCAACCTTTCATTTGTAGCTAATTTTGAATGAAATTGGGGAAATTGTAGGTAGGGTAGGTGCATAGGTCCGTCCAGAAAAGGCAACCCTGGGATTTACATAATTCTCCACCCCTGTCAAGGTCGCATTAATCATGCAATATGTATATTCACCAGATACACACCCACCTTTTTCGCAAAAAAACTTTTTATATCCATCTCATTTCTAAATTCTACCTGACTCAAACCAGATCTTCATCTTAGTGCCTTGACCAGATCCACAAAACGAAACCGGTTGGCGCAATAAACATATCAGATATGTCTCTTCTGCGCTGAATTTGAAAATTTACGCGCTAAATCGCTAAACTGCTGCATGTTTTAGACGGTGTTAATTCTACCTGCAAAGCACAGATTATCCGTGACAGAAACGGCACCGTGGCCCATCTTTTTGTGTTTAGCGAGCGAATCTCAGACATTGGAGTGCTCTCAAAAGTGGGGGGGCCACACACATTACTGGCCCCCCCCACTCCAAAGTGGTGGGGTGGCCGTGGCCCCCCTGGCCCCCCCGGTTCCTACGCCTATGTCATCATATCATATGCATGTTATACTACACTGCACAAAACTACACCACATCACATCATCCCAAGGCATAATGAAAAACAGCACAACAAATTTGCAGAAATTGGTGCATCAAATATAAATATCAAAGCCCAAGAAGAGATCTACATGAGAAACATACTCTCCAGTTTAAAGAACCTGATTGTTCACACACCTTTTGCATGGTGTCCTGAAGTCCGGGAGCCAGCAGAATGCAAGACAGCACAGTGACTGCCAGAAGCATCAAGGCGTACATGATGCGGGAGCTGGTTGAGTTGGCACATGATGGACATGCTGAGCAGCACAGACTGCATGCCGCAGAGCCACAGCAGCAGGCCAGCTGAAAAGAATCAGTAACACAGTCAGCAGTGAATTCAGCCTTCAGCCTTTCCAATGTGACTCCAACTAAATAGGCGTTCAATATGTAAAAAAATTGATGTGCTCATGCAGAAACCATAGCATTGACAGAGAAAATCCATTGATATTTTTTACCTGTAAATTATCTGAAACAGGCAACTGTAACTCTATTCCGTAAATCAAAATGACACGTCTCCATCATCATTGGCATGCTGGCTCAATAAAAATACTTTTTGCAAAACATCGTGATAAAAATATAAAATGCATTCAAATTCACATTTTCCATTCTATTTGGAAAATGCGCATTTTATTACATTCTTTCACTTTAGCTTTTTTTTACAAATTCGTTCAATGCTCCAGGAGCTGGAAAGTCAATCCTATGCTTACTTAATCCATATAACACTTGGAAAACAAATATTTTTCTTTAATTCCCTTTGTCTATTGGGCAGATACCTAACCTACCACTACCAGTAACAATCTTGACCTACCTGTGAGGCTGTGCAAAGCCCAAGCACCGCACCCATGATGGCTGATTAGAGGGAGAGATTGAAATGTCTCACACCCAACTGATTTTAGTAATAAACGAGCACAGGCAAGGCTAAATAGCCTTGGGCAAGGCAACCATCACCACCATTACACACAAAGCCACTGCGCACGGCGATTTGTAATACCAAAATCACTGGCCAAAACAAAACAATTCGTGCCAAGATCGTGCAAATGTCACTGCTGCGCCATTTCTGTAAATTCTATAAGTGCTGTCAGCTGATATTTAGCAACAGCTGCAAAGACCATTTCTTAAATTCAAATTAACTTTCAAAATGTGATGGATATCATTGAAAAAAACCATTCATAAATATATGAAATTAAAAAGAATGCAAATGGATATCGTAGGAGCATGTAAGAATATTTCAAAAGATCCAATTACTGAACGAAGCAAAAATTTGGGACTTTTTGCTTGACTTAGAAACGTTTTGTAAAATATTTTTCTCGATAAAATGCATCACTCTGCTTGCATAAATGATTACTTAAACATATTAGTTTGATAAAAATTGAAAATGTGGAATTCAATCAGCGAAGCTCACCACAGTCAGCTGACCGAATTTATAGGTTGAGGTCAAGGCGTTAGGTCGAAGCTCGCCTCTAGATGACGTTTATATACTTAGCTTCAAATTCAAATTCAGATTCCAAATTCATATTCGATGGAAAAAATGATAAAAACGGACCCCTTAGAATCTCACCAAATTTACACCAGCCACTCAGCATGACCTGGTCATCACAGAATAAAATTATCTAAGCTCGGCAAGCCCTGGGGGCTGAGATATGAGGGGTCAAAGTTCAAGGTCATTGAGGGCGGACCCCTCAGAATTGCCTCAAAATTTGCACACAGATGCAAGTTGACCTGCTGAGCACGATGGGCATAAAATCTAAGCCCGGCAAGCCCTGACCTGGAAATTAGGTCAGGTCAAAGTTTGCAGCCACGTGGAGGTCACGTGACCCTTTTACAGCGGACCCCTCAGATTTTAATGAAATTTTGTGAGCTGATGCATCTAGACACCCTTATTAATATCCTAAATTATCTAAGTTCGGCAAGCTCCGGGGGCTGTGATATGAGGGGTCAAAGGTCAAGGTCATTTGAGAGTGGACCCCTTCAATTTTTGTTAAAACTCAAATCACCCCTCAACTTTGTCTTCTGAATTTAATGGTAAAAATTTCTAAGCTCGGCAAGCCTTAGAAAAGCCAGAATGAGTATTTTGAAAACGAGCATTTGTATTCCAATATGGCTGACAGGTAGGTATTGTGGCGTATCAATGACAAAACTGACGCGTAAAATGTAAACAAACTGCATGCTTCCAAATGAAGCAATTCCTTTACATATCGATCGATTTTACTATTTCCTTCATAGATAGTGGCCGTTTAATGTCTATATAATATAGATTGATGGATTACGAGTCTACGACCTCATACCTATCTTCATAACGGGCCAGTGACCCCTGATATAAGCCCTTGGTGGATGAATGACCTCTAACCTTTTCCAGTACCTACAGGTCACACACATTCGACCTATCCCCGAAGATCGCTGACCATAGGTGTCACTTCAACTTGAGCTCTCACATCTCCTAAGTCAGGTCTGACCTGAACTGAGATGAATGACGCGTCACGGGCCGCTGACCTCCGTTATGTGGGTCATTGACCTTTGACGTACCCAGAAAGGAATCACTCACCTGACATGTTAAAAGGACCAGTGACCTCTGATTTGTCTGAACTCTCGCCCGTGTGCGGTGTGCGGATGAAGGGGCCGGAGGTACGTTGGAACCCCGCCCGCCGCCGTTCGGGCCCCTGATGGAGTTAGAGCTTCGCGGAAAAACAAGTGTATTGCGAGCGTTACGAGTTATCTTAGGATAACCAGTTTTAGTCCTGGGTTAGTGACCTCAGTTGACCTCGTATGACCTGCACACCAATATGACCTGCTTTCACATACGTCACAGACATTTTACCATAAAGATGACTGAGTCGTTTTCATCTCATTGTCGCTTTGTAGGTCACACCATTTATTGATGAACCAAGTTAGATAACCCGACGACTTCACGTGAGGATCCATAGTAACATGTCACAATCGTCATTAAGCAGCCTCGCCTCGGCAAACACTGACGAATAGAAAACACTCGGCAGTCCCCACGCCTCCGCCAGTGATAATAAAGCCTACAAAACGTTAACTGGTCAACTCCGAGCAGTCGCGCAGCACTAGTCAATCAATGAGTACATTGCGACGCCGTCAACATGGGCGGGTCCCGTGGTGGACAGTGACAAGTCGTGCTTAGCTACGATACGTAACATAAGATACGGCCGCGCCCGTACAGATCACCCGTGCCGTACGGCCCCAAACACGACCAAACACTGGCGGCGGTACACGGGCTCGCTCGGACCGCTCCAGTCGCTGCTGGGTGACTGAAGACACTTCAAGCTGAGCTCAACACATCAGAGATCCCACCTGAGCGTCCGGCGGCGACGGCGAGGTGCCGTCTCACCGGGCTGGCCAGTAGACTGAGGCAGCTGGCGCACGGCAACGGACCGTGCTCATATTGCGCCGGCACTACGCCGATGGCACCTCGCATTTCGCAACACGAGCTGATTAACAGCTCCGTCCGATACTCGAGCACCTTGCGGCTGTCGCGGTAGCGTTTGAACGCATTAAATGGGTTCATGTCCGTCTGTTGTTGTTGTTGTTGTTGTTGTTGTTGTTGTTGTTGTTGTTGTTGTCTCCCTCCAGCCCTAGGGCGTATCCTGCCGGCTCTGGAGGGGGACGAAGGCGGCCCCCAGGGCCGCCACTGCGTCGATGCTGCGCAGGTCCTCGTGGGTCGGGTGTATAGTTCCGAGCACTCGGAACCGGCAGTTGCACCAGGGCGGGACACCGCATCAGCACGTGGGCTGAGGTGTCTGCTTCCTCACGACAGAGCCCGCACCGGCAGTTGGCGATACCAGCCGTCGGGCCAGGCCGCTATGGTCCTCGCACGCGCCAGCCTTGCCGCTGCTCTCTGGATCGTTCTGGTGTCCAGTGGTGTGTGTCTGAGTTCTGGTCCAGGGCGGAGGCCTCCCCCGCCAGGGTGTCTGCCCTCTCATTTCCAGGAAGGCCGCAATGCGAGGGGACCCACTGGAGGTGAATGGGTCGTCCCGATGAGGCCAGGGAGCGCAGGGCTCTCCAGATCCCGACTCCGAGCGATGTCGACTGCGCCGCTGGTCCCTCGCGGAGCCGCGCGAGTGCCGCCATGGAGTCGGTCAAGAAGATGATCGACATGATGAGGCGGACAGTGACACCCCGCAACACGTCCTGCTGCGCTGCCCGTGCCTCTGCGGGGCCCGCCTCCTCGCCATGGGCAACATTTACGGACGCTCCACCGACTTCAGACGGGACGACGTGGTGGCGGCCTTGGCCGCCGGCTTTCGGTCCTTCCAGAGCCGAACGACTACGCCCCGGTGACGGGCCGAGGGGAATACAACAACAACAAAAGATGATCGCGTCCTCCAAGTGTGCCGGGTTGTTGACTAGGTGGTTGGCAGCTCTTTGGGGTGCGATCATCTCCGCTCTGTAGCTAGAGCAGAGGCGGCCGGCGGCGACGCGGAGCGTCTGTCACCTCGCCGTCCGGCCTCTTGATGAAAGCACCCGCTCCTCCGTCGGTGATGCCTCCGGATGCCGATCCGTCGGTCCAGCACCACGTGGCGCACTGCGGGAGCGATGCCAGGTGGTGTGTCGCGGTGGTGTGTCTTTGCTGGGCTGATGCTGCTGGTGTTAGCGCCGCACCGATATCTAGCCGGAAGTTGATCGGACCTGTTGAGGCCCATGGAGGCTCTCGCAGGGGGAGTAGCGGCTCGATGGGGGGGGGGGGGGGAGCGACCCCGATCGCCGCCAGGACCTCTCCTCCCACTTGTCGCCATCCCGTTGTCCTCAGTCTGCTGGGTGGGTTGCTGGACGCCACGACACGGAGCGGACCTCCCTCAGACAGGGCGAGGGCCTTCGCCAGGAGTCGCGCCGCCAGGACTTGGCGGCGTTCCACCACCGGGGCGAGGCCAGCCTCCGCCATGACAGCGTGTGAGGGAGTCGATAGCGGGCACCCGGTGATCACTCGCGCCGATGCACGCATCTCCCCATTCGGGCACCAACCACCAGAGCGCGCAGACTGTGATCCGGTGGTAGTCAATCTTCACTGCTCATCATCCATGGGTCGTGAGGAGCAGCGATGTTTCCCTGCGAATAAAAAATACAACACTTATCACTCTCTATTTTTGAGAAGTTCCACAGCCACCACACGAAGTCACCACACAGAAGGCGGGTTCGTCCCTAAAGCATCTCTTCTTTACCACTCATGTGGGACTCCAGGGCAGCGTTGGTTGTCACAGTGCTGGAGAGAAGCTGACGCCACAGAGGGGCGAGAGGCATCACGCTGCATCACACTTCCCAACAGACAGGCGGGTCAGAGGCTACTGAGATCCGCGTCGTCGGACTGGAAGGCATGGTGCAAGCAGACTGAGCACCATGCAACAAAAAGAACAGAAAAACACGATAGCAAAATACACTTCAAAACGCATTTTCGTCTATAACAGCGTTCGCGCGTCGTTTCACCTTGAGTTTGTTGCCGTAAATGATGACGTGGTTGAACTCGACCGGCTGGCTCTGCTGTGTGCCGGCCACACCCTGGTTGGGCAGGTTGGAGCCGGCGCCGCCGACGAGCGCGGCCGACGCGGCGGCTGTGGGCGCCGCGGACGGCGGCGGCTGGTTGTACGAGTGGTGCGCGGTGACGTGGTGGCCCCCGACGCCGGCCGCCGCCGCACAGCGTGCGACAGGATGTTGTTGCCTGTTGGTGCCATACCTGCTCCTGTGGCAAGCAACAGAATCATAGCGTCAGCAGGGGCGCATGTGATCAACAACGCTGGATATTCGCATATTATTTCAACAGGCAAAGAAAAAAAAAACAGCACAGGAGAAGAATGAATAGCAACCATAGCAGCCCTTTCCCTGACGTCCACACGCATGTAGTTGGATTCACCCTATCTGAAGGGTCAGGCCGCCAGCTCACCTTGGTAGGCGGCTGGTGACTCGGTTTGGGCGGCGCGCTGGGCGCCGTCGGCAGCGGCGGTGGCGGTGGCTGCTGCTGCTGGGGCTGCGGCGGCGGCGTCGGTACCACTGTGTCCGAATAGGTCTGGAAGTCGCCAGTGGGCGTGTACACCGCGCTGTGGTCACCTAGCCCGGCGCCATCATCGAGACGTGTAGGTACTGCCGGCGAGAGCATGCCAATTAGCGTCATGATGGTTGTATGAGCAGTGGCGAAACGAAGCTTAAGTAATGAACAATACGGGGTCAGTTAATCAGGCCATAAGAAACTCAGCAGAACTAGAATTTGCATTTCCCTACAAGATACAAAAACAAAACAGCTTTAAAACACAATTTTCATCAAAAGTCACTACAGACAGGTACACAAAACTACCATTAAATCGAACATCTCAACAAAACTCAGTTTAGATGACTATATTGCGCTAAAAAATGACTATATTAGATTGACTATACAGAGAGAAACGGGAGTCAGACACTCGACAGGGGACAGCGGCGGCTGCAGGACAGGGAACGGCGGCGCTCGCCGCTTGGTCAAATTAAACGTGCTCAAAATTGCGTAAGGTGACGTTCGTTTTTGCAGACGATACAAAAAGCAAATAAGTAACTGAGAATATGTAAGAGCAAGAACGGCATAAGTATGACATAAGACAGCGGCCCAGCTTTAACTTACTTTTGCGCCTTGAACTCCTTCATGATATCGAGAAAGTCGTTGTGGACCTGTGGGTTGTTCTGGAACTTGGACTTGACCTGGTCCTGGTAGGAGAGCACGTCCTCCACCTTGAGTCGGTGGTAGCTGGGCTGAACGGCGCCGGCATCGGCGGCGGCGGCGGCAGCTTCCTGTCGCTGTCGGCACCCATCACCGCAGGGCAGGGCAGGGCAGTCAGGCTGCGGTCATATTCGGCTGGTGGGCGACCAGCCGAATATGGTCGTCTGCCTGACAGGAGCGGTACATACAGGTCGGAAGCGGTTAGAGGAGAAGACAGCGTCAGGTAGGGCGGTTGGGCGGACGAGGGTCGCTCGAACAGTGCAGGATTCATGTTTCGGCTTTATCCGAATAAGCCATCGGTTCCGCAATTTGGCCAAAAAAGCTGCAGACAGAATGCATGAATATCCAGACATTCACCGGATCAACCAGTTACATATCTGAGTCTGCTTCAACACTCAAGCAAAGCCGCATATCCCACAGCATTACGAAATAAGCATGAGTGTGGGATTGGGGCCCAGACCAACTAGGGACCACGTCCGATCCTTCAGTCTTGGGCGGGACTCTTTTCAGCGCGCTGACACTGTGGAGTAGCCGAGTCGGCCGCCGGGACTCACCTGGGGCGCAGAGGAGTGCGGCACCGGCCCAGCGGCGGTAGAGGCCGGTTCTTCGCTGGCGCCGGCAGAGTACTGCAACGAGCCACCGCCGCATTATTTCTTCACCTATGCTGGTTCTACATGATGCCGTCTACGGCGCCGTCAGCCGCGCCAGGCTCGGCTGGGCGGCCAGACTGGGCGACGAGAAGGGGCGGCTCGGCGGGAGAGCGGCGCACCGGCGGCACCACGCAAACCACGGCTGACGAACCGTCACTACTCTCCGGCGACTCCTGGCGCTTCATCACATGCTCGACACGGCACAGGAACTGCGGGCACACGGACACGTACCGACCACACGTCAGCCGTCCGGCGCCGCCGCTCTACCGACCACAGACACCTGACAGGAGCTACTGACAAGGAGCTCAGGAGCCAGGGCAGGGCAGGGCAGGGCAGGGCAGGGCAGGGCAGTGAGAGGCAGTGAGACGCAGTGAGAGGCGGTGAGAGGCAGTGAGCAAAGGAAGGCAGTCAGAGGCAGTGAGAGGCGGTGAGCGGCAGTCAGTGAGCAGAGACAGGCAGTCAGAGGCAGGACAGGAGGCAGTGAGAGGCGGTGAGAGGCTGTGACATGCAGTGAGAGGCGGCGAGAGGCGGCGAGAGACAGTGAGAGGCGGTGAGAGGAAGTGAGAGGCAATGAGAGACAGTCAGTGAGCAGAGGCAGGCAGTCAGAAGCAGGGCAGGAGGCAGTGAGACGCAGTGAGAGGCGGTGAGAGGCAGTGAGCAAAGGAAGGCAGTCAGAGGCGTTGAGAGGCAGTCAGTGAGCAGAGACAGGCAGTCAGAGGAGGTGAGAGGCTGTGACATGCAATGAGAGGCGGCGAGAGGCAGTGAGAGACAGTGAGAGGCGGTGAGAGGCAGTGAGAGGCAATGAGAGACAGTCAGTGAGCAGAGGCAGGCAGTCAGAAGCAGGGCAGGAGGCAGTGAGACGCAGTGAGAGGCGGTGAGAGGCAGTGAGCAAAGGAAGGCAGTCAGAGGCAGTGAGAGGCGGTGAGAGGCAGTCAGTGAGCAGAGGCAGGCAGTCAGAGGCAGGAACGGAGGCAGTGAGAGGCGGTGAGAGGCAGTGAGAGGCGGTGAGAGGCAGTGAGAGGCGGTGAGAGGCAGTAGAGGCGATGAGAGGCAGTCAGTGAGCAGAGGTAGGCAGTCAGACGCAGGGCACAAGACATTGAGAGGCAGTGAGAGGCGGCGAGAGGCAGTGACATGCAGTGAGAGGCGGTGAGAGGCAGTGAGAAGCGGTAAGAGGCAGTGAGAGGCGTCGAGAGGCGGTGAGAGGCGGCGAGAGGCGGTGAGAGGAAGTCAGTGAGCAGAGGCAGGCAGTCAGAGGCAGGGAAGGAGGCAGTGAGAGGCGGCGAGAGGCAGAGAAAGGCGGCGAGAGGCGGTGAGAGGCAATGGCATGCAGTGAGAGGCAGTGAGAGGAAGTTAGAGGCAGTGAGAGGCGGTAAGAGGCAGTGAGAGGCAGTAGAGGCGATGAGAGGCAGTCAGTGAGCAGAGGCAGGCAGTCAGAGGCAGGGCAGGAGGCAGTGAGAGGCAGTGAGAGGCGGTGAGAGGCAGTGAGAGGCGGTGAGAGGCGTTGAGAGGCAGTGAGAGGTAGTCCGTGAGCAGAGGAAGGCAGTGAGAGGCGGTAAGAGGCGGTGAGAGGCAGTGAGAGGCGGTAGAGGCGATGAGAGGCAGTCAGTGAGCAGAGGTAGCCAGTCAGACGCAGGGCAGAAGGCATTGAGAGGCAGTGAGAGGCGGCGAGAGGCAGTGACATGCAGTGAGAGGCAGTGAGAGGCGGTGAGAGGCAGTGAGAGGCAGTGAGAGGCAGTAGAGGCGATGAGAGGCAGTCAGTGAGCAGAGGTAGCCAGTCAGACGCAGGGCAGAAGGCATTGAGAGGCAGTGAGAGGCGGCGAGAGGCAGTGACATGCAGTGAGAGGCAGTGAGAGGCGGTGAGAGGCAGTGAGAGGCGGTGAGAGGCGGTGAGAGGAAGTCAGTGAGCAGAGGCAGGCAGTCAGAGGCAGGGAAGGAGGCAGTGAGAGGCGGCGAGAGGCAGAGAAACGCCGCGAGAGGCGGCGAGAGGCAGTGACATGCAGTGAGAGGCAGTGAGAGGCGGTGAGAGGCAGTGAGAGGCGGTGAGAGGCAGTCAGTGAGCAGAGGCAGGCAGTCAGAGGCAGGGCAAGAGGCAGTGAGAGGCGGCGAGAGGCAGAGAAAGGCCGCGAGAGGCGGTGAGAGGTAATGACATGCAGTGAGAGGCAGTGAGAGGAAGTTAGAGGCAGTGAGAGGCGGTAAGAGGCAGTGAGAGGCAGTAGAGGCGATGAGAGGCAGTCAGTGAGCAGAGGCAGGCAGTCAGAGGCAGGGCAGGAGGCAGTGAGAGGCGATGAGAGGCAGTGAGAGGCGGTGAGAGGCGTTGAGAGGCAGTGAGAGGTGGTGAGAGGCAGTCCGTGAGCGCAGTCCGTGAGCAGAGGAAGGCAGTGAGAGGCGGTGAGAAGCAGTGAGAGGCGGTAGAGGCGATGAGAGGCAGTCAGTGAGCAGAGGTAGGCAGTCAGAGGCAGGGCAGGAGGCAGTGAGAGGCGGTGAGAGGCAGTGAGAGGCGGTTAGAGGCGGCAAGAGGTGGTGAGAGGCAGTGACATGCAGTGAGAGGTAGTGAGAGGCGGTGAGAGGCAGTGAGAGGTAGTCAGCGAGCAAAGGAAGGCAGTCAGAAGCAGTGAGAGGCAGTAGAGGCGGTGAGAGGCAGTCAGTGAGCAGAGGCAGGCAGTCAGAGGCAAGGCAGGAGGTAGTGAGAGGCAGTGAGAGGCGGCGAGAGGTGGTGAGAGGCAGTGACATGCAGTGAGAGGCAATGAGAGGCGGTGAGAGGCGGTGAGAGGCTGTGACATGCAGTGAGAGGCAGCGAGAGGCAGTGAGAGGCGGTGAGAGGAAGTCAGTGCAGAGGCAGGCAGTCAGAGGCAGGGAAGGAGGCAGTGAGAAGAGGTGAGAGGCAGTGAGACGCGGGGAGAGGCAGAGAGAGGCGGCGAGAAGGGGTGAGAGGCAATGACATGCAGTCATGAGAGGCAGTGAGAGGAAGTTAGAGGCAATGAAAGGCAGTAAGAGGCAGTAAAGGCGGTGAGAGGCAGTCAGTGAGCAGAGGCAGGCAGTCAGAGGCAGGGCACGAGGCAGTGAGAGGCAGTGAGAGGCAGTGAGAGGCGGCGAGAGGTGGTGAGAGGTAGTGACATGCAGTGAGAGGCGGTGAGAGGCGGTGAGAAGCAGTGAGAGGCGGTGAGAGGTAGTAGAGGCGGTGAGAGGCAGTCAGTGAGCAGAGGCAGGCAGTCAGAGGCAGGGCAGGAGGCAGTGAGAGGCAGTGAGAGGCGGTGAGAGGCAGTGAGAGGTGGTGAGAGGCAGTCCGTGAGCAGAGGAAGGCAGTGAGAGGCGGCGAGAGGCGGTGAGAGGCAGTGAGAGGCAGTAGAGGCGATGAGAGGCAGTCAGTGAGCAGAGGTAGGCAGTCAGAGGCAGGGCAGGAGGCAGTGAGAGGCAGTGAGAGGTGCTGAGAGGCAGTGAGAGGCGGCGAGAGGTGGTGAGAGGCAGTGACATGCAGTGAGAGGCGGTGAGAGGCAGTGAGAGACAATGAGAGGCGGTGAGAGGCGGTGGAAGGCGCTGAGAGGCTGTGACATGCAGTGAGAGGCGGCAAGAGGCAGTGAGAGGAAGTCATTGAGCAGAGGCAGGCAGTCAGAGGCAGGGAAGGAGGCAGTGAGAAGAGGTGAGAGGCAGTGAGAGGCAGAGAGAGGCGGCGAGAGGCGGTGAGAGACAGTGACATGCACTGAGAGGCAGTGAGAGGAAGTTAGAGGCAATGAGAGGCGGTGAGAGGTAGTGAGAGGCGGTGAGAGGCAGTCAGTGAGCAGAGGCAGGCAGTCAGAGGCAGGGCAGGAGGCAGTGAGAGGCGGTGAGAGGCGGCGAGAGGTGGTGGGAGGTAGTGACATGCAGTGAGAGGCAGTGAGAGGCGGTGAGAAGCAGTGAGAGGCAGTGAAAGGTGGTGAGTGGCTATGAGAGGCGGTGAGGGGCGGTGAGAGGCGGTGAGAGGGGTCAGTGAGCAGAGGCAGGTAGTCAGAGGCAGGGAAGGAGGCAGTGAGAAGAGGTGAGAGGCATTGAGAGGCATTGAGAGGCGGCGAGAGGCGGCGAGAGGCGGTGAGAGGCAGTGACATGCAGTGAGAGGCAGTGAGAGGAAGTTAGAGGCAATGAGAGGCAGTGAGAGGCGGTGAGAGGCGGTGAGAGGCGGCGAGAGGCAGTGAGAGGAAGTCAGTGCAGAGGCAGGCAGTCAGAGGCAGGGAAGGAGGCAGTGAGAAGAGGTGAGAGGCAGTGAGACGCGGCGAGAGGCAGAGAGAGGCGGCGAGAAGGGGTGAGAGGCAATGACATGCAGTGAGAGGCAGTGAGAGGAAGTTAGAAGGCAATGAGAGGCAGTGAGAGGCAGTAAAGGCGGTGAGAGGCAGTCAGTGAGCAGAGGCAGGCAGTCAGAGGCAGGGCAGGAGGCAGTGAGAGGCAGTGAGAGGCGGCGAGAGGCGGTGAGAGGCAGTGACATGCAGTGAGAGGCAGTGAGAGGAAGTTAGAGGCAATGAGAGGCAGTGAGAGGCGGTGAGAGGCGGTGAGAGGCGGCGAGAGGCAGTGAGAGGAAGTCAGTGCAGGGGCAGGCAGTCAGAGGCAGGGAAGGAGGCAGTGAGAAGAGGTGAGAGGCAGTGAGACGCGGCGAGAGGCAGAGAGAGGCGGCGAGAAGGGGTGAGAGGCAATGACATGCAGTGAGAGGCAGTGAGAGGAAGTTAGAAGGCAATGAGAGGCAGTGAGAGGCAGTAAAGGCGGTGAGAGGCAGTCAGTGAGCAGAGGCAGGCAGTCAGAGGCAGGGCAGGAGGCAGTGAGAGGCAGTGAGAGGCAGTGAGAGGCGGCGAGAGGTGGTGAGAGGTAGTGACATGCAGTGAGAGGCGGTGAGAGGCAGTGAGAAGCAGTGAGAGGCGGTGTGAGGCAGTAGAGGCGGTGAGAGGCAGTCAGTGAGCAGAGGCAGGCAGTCATAGGCAGGGCAGGAGGCAGTGAGAGGCAGTGAGAGGCGGTGAGAGGCAGTGAGAGGTGGTGAGAGGCAGTCCGTGAGCAGAGGAAGGCAGTGAGAGGCGGCGAGAGGCGGTGAGAGGCAGTGAGAGGCAGTAGAGGCGATGAGAGGCAGTAGAGGCGATGAGAGGCAGTCAGTGAGCAGAGGTAGGCAGTCAGAGGCAGGGCAGGAGGCAGTGAGAGGCAGGGAGAGGTGGTGAGAGGCAGTGAGAGGCGGCGAGAGGTGGTGAGAGGCAGTGAC